AATGTTTTTATTTTTTTAAAGATGTACTTGGCAGATGGCCAAGAAATTAATCAAAGCGAGAATGTTGGAGCCATCATTGAGAGGGGAGCGGGGTGTGATGCAAAAGGTCCTCTGTTATTGACTAAAGAACAAAAGCATTTGATGCTGGTGACTGTTACCATTTTTTTAGGAATTAAGAGCCGAAAAGAAAAAAAAAACTGTTTCGAAACCTCCTCCGGTTGTTTAAGACTCGGTACGATTTCATGTCGGCTTCTGCTGCGAAATAAATTAACAATTGACAATGGAGTGATTTGGCGTTGCTTGCTAAAAAAACGTTAATTTAATATATTACAAAATATGTTACATGCGTGTGTGTATGTGAGTCTGCTTGGATGAATAAGGCTGCAACCTAACACAATTATTGGCGGAATTCTAATTTGAAACATTCACCGTATAATTTCGACTTATGTGAGTAATGGAGTAGCAATTGGTTTAGTCCTCGGACATGTAAGTGTCTGGGGGGGTATTGAAAAATAAGCACTTGTTCTGCAAAATAAATCTCATAATTATAAAGCCAACATCTCATCATAAATAACACACACACACACACACACACACACACACATATATATATATACATAGGCACACACACACACATATATATATATGTATATATATATATATAATATATATATACAAGTATAATATATATATATAAGTATATATATATATAAGTAAAAGTATATATATAATATATATATATGTATATATATAAGAATATATATAAGAATATATATATATATATATATATATATATATAAGAATATATATATATATATATATATATATATATATATATATATATATATATATATATATATATGAGAACAGGACCATAATACCAACGATCACCGCAAACGCAATAATAGCGCAATGCATTATACGAGCTAGTATAAAAAAAACAAGGAACGGGTCTAATATATATATATATATATATATATGAATACATACTTGGGCAGCAACCTTTCTTTTAAACATGTTTCGTTGAATATAACAGATAAAAAAAATTTAGTTAATTTTCTATGTACTTTTTCCAGCATTCTTACGTTTTCACCATGTGTGTGTGTGTGTGTGCGCGTGTGTGTGTGTGTGTGCGCGTAGGTGTGTGTGTGTGTAAATAAAAAAATAAACAGACCAGGTACCTCAGTATGCAACATAATATCGGTGACAAACAATGCACCCAAAAGTTAAAAAGGCCAAAAATAAAAAAGATGCAAATCAACCAATAAATAAAACCACAAACAAAACAAATTGGACACATTCTGGTTTCGGTGGGCTGATTCAAAATCCAACAGACACCATCGGCACTAATATATATATATATATATATATATATATATATATATATATATATATATATATATATGTATATATATATATATAGGATAGATAGATAGATAGATAGATAGATAGATAGATAGATAGATAGATAGATAGATAGATAGGGAGAGAGACTCACACAAACAGACAGACGGTTATTTTCTTGTTTCTGGTCGTCGGATCTGATAAGGTAATTTAATTTATAGCTCCTCTCATCCTCAGATTTCCCAGCGCCTTTTCCACACACACAGTTTTGTCTTCATTCTGATCTGAAGAAGCCGAAAGTAACAGACGAACACACACGCATATATATATATATATATATATATATATATATATATATATATATATGTACATAGTGATATATGTATATATATAGAGAAAGTATAATTACATAGAAATTGTTCTTTTAAACAGATTTTATTAAAAATTAAAGACATTCTATGTGTATTAATTTTAACCATTGTCTTTTCTTAATAATGGTACCATATTTGAAATTAGGATGTCACTAGCATTTACAGGTCAAATACCATTACGAAGAATATAAACTGACATTTATAGAGCAACTAACATTATGAAGAATAAAAATTACCATTTTCTGACCATTTTCCAAGATTATGAACTACCACTGACTTGACATTTCCAAGAACGCGAACTGCCATTTACATGACGAGTACAATTTTCAATAAAACTATCTACCATTTTCTGGACAAATATTATTAACAAGAATATAAATTTCCATTTACTGGATAAATACCATTGCCAGGAATACACACTGCCTTTTACTGGACATATACTATTACCAGGAATACACAATGCCATTTACTGAATAAATAACATTACCAGGAAGACACAATGTCATTTACAAGACAAATACCATTACCAGGAAGACACACTACCATTTGCAAGATAAATACCATTACCAAGAAGACACACTACCATTTGCAAGACAAATACCATTACCAGGAAGACACACTGCCATTTACAGAAAAAATACCATTATCAGGAAGACACACTGCCATTTACTGGATAAATACCATTACCAGGAAGACACACTTCCATTTACTTAACAAATGCTATTACCAGGAAGACACATTGCCATTTACTGGATAAATACCATTACCAGGAATGCACACTGCCATTTACTGGACAAATACAATTTCAAGTATTCTGGACATTTTCCATTTACCTAGAATACTAACTACCATTGACTGGACATTTCCAAGAATACAAACGGCTATTTGTATGGCAAATGTCATTACTAATATCAACTACCACGGCAAATACTATTGGATTGGTGCATAATTATCAGGCGTTTTACAAGGCGAGTTATTTGTTAATAAAAATTGCTGTTTTGTTTACTTTTTTAAATAAAAGTATTATTTTATTTTATGTTATAAAATTGCGTGCCAGAGCTCTGGAATAACCATTTTAAAATGTTATTGTTGAATTGTTATGTTTCTTTTTTCATAATAAATATTATTTTAAAAAAAAAACGCCTGATAATTATGCACCAACCCAATAATACCAAGAATAGTAATTATTATTTACTGTCTACTTCCCAATACTACTAATATTAACTGCCATTTATAGGACAAATAGCATTACTAAGAACAACTATTTAGATTTTTTCAATAGTTAAATGATTCATGAAATGCCGAATCTATCAAAAATAGATTGACTCAATGGGGAAAGCATCTAATAAATAACAAACCGAATTTGGATAAAAGCGGCACACGAACACGGTAAATATGCAGATCTTACAATCAGCAAAGCTGAAATATCGAATATTTTTGTTAGACTTGATAAAAACGAATATGGCACAAAATTACTATCGGTACTTAATGACGATGCTAAATCAAAAAAACAACAAAAATCTTAAGATAAACACGACCTCTCAAAAACAAGTAAATAATCCTGCATCTTTGAATAACGCAAAAATAGCAGAAATTTATCACTCAAATCATTTTTAATATTCTTCACCTTACATTAGTTGTACACACCCCTGAAGATGAGTCACGGGTATCGAAATCTCGAACAGAGACGTGATTTGAGATATTTTTTGGCTCTGCACCAACAAAAGATTATATGCAGTTTAGAAAAGACGATTACTACATTCAATAAACATAGAATTTCATAATAATAATAATAATAATAATATATATATATATATATATATATATATATATATATGATTTTCAAAGCGTAGTTTAGATGTGGCACATGGCACAAGACCGAAATTATGGGGCATCCAGTGAGGATCGGACTCACTACTCGGTCGTAAATGTTCTTGTGAGACAAGCTTGCTAACCATTACACCGCCTCGAGGTGCCCAAAGCTATCTATCTATCTATCTATCTATCTATCTATCTATATATATATATATATATATATATATATATATATGTGTGTGTGTGTGTGTGTGAGTGTGTGTATATATATAAATATTATATATATTTATATATGCAATTTATTATATATATTATTTATATATTATATATGCGCGGTAGTTATTGGAAAGCGCTCAATATCAGTGATAGAGATAACATATTTAGTTGATTGATGTGAGTTTGTAACCCTGGGTTTCACGCCCTTGCGATCGTCAGCCAAATCATCTGACGATCGCAAAAGCGTGAAACCCAGTGTCACAAACTCACATCAATCCAACCCTATATATATATATATATATATATATATATATATATATATATATATATATATATATATATATATATATATATAAAACCCTCATCGTGAAGTAATGGTAAACGAGATTTATTTGGTTGATCATTACTAGTGATTAATAATTTCGATCCTCAGTAAGTGCCTCATACTTTGGCCTTGCATTAAAAATAAACTAATCTTAGTAAATAGCAATACTTCTCGTGTTACTGATGATAGAAATAATCTAATGGCTGAATAGGACGCCGCTCTAAAAAAGAGGCTAGCATATTTATTACCTGTTTGTTTGCCATTAACGTTTCTTTTCGCTCAGATGCCTCAAGTAATGACATCGGCCGTTTCCATCCCGCCATTGTCGTTATATGAACACGAATATTAAGCATTTATGCCTGACTTCACCTGGAATCTTCTGATTTCATCGAGGGTTTAGTTGACTGCCAATCACGATTCTCTTAAAGAGAATTGACTCACTGGAGACTACGGTATCTGTAAAATATGCCGGGCAGAAATACAGTGTGGAGATTTGTTTACTCTCCCGAAATTCTATTCAGAAATCTCGTGTTTGTACTCTAAATTCACTTTCCGAAGAAGCTCTCATCTAATTCCTTGATTTAACGTTAAAATGGACAAATATTAAATCAAATAATTGAAAATGTATTGTTACAGTCGCTTACATTTTTGTGTTTGTTTTATTCATAACATTTCGGTTGTTGCACTCTTCGGTCTTTTTCAGGTATCCGTCATGTTCAGTAACCATTTCGATATTTTGAACTAAACGCTTTATTCAATCTACAGTGATATATATATATATATATATATATATATATATATATATATATATATATATATATATATATTCTTCTTTGCATATTTAGGGAGATAACTCGTATCTGTTAACTCACTAATTCGCCTATTATCCATGACTATACCTACAGAATGCACTTCGTTTACAGCAATATAGCGTTAAAACACCAGTTCCCATACGATCACTTAAGCAATGTCGAGCCGGATCAGTAACTGGATGGGTGACCGCTTGTGAATACCTAGTGCAGTAAGCTTGGATGTGTGGGTGGTGTAATGGATAAGGGAACGGAATTGTTAATCAGAGAGCCGAGTTCCAAATTCAGATGGGCTCGTTATATTCACTTATGCACGAATAAACTTAAGAAAGTTATTAATCCATTTCTTCTCTCCCAGATATGGGTTAATTAGTAAGATCTCTTTCACTAAAGCATTATTATCTCCAAAAGAATTCGTAGAACCTTGAAATATTTTTCTTAAAATAACCTTCAAAGTGTTGACAAACCGTAAAAAACGAATCAATAGAGAAAGAGTTTTTGCTAAGAAACTAAATATAGAGGTGTGAAGAAGTGAGGGCATGAAGAAGTGGAGGCACGAAGAAGTAGAAGCCTGGAGGAGTGGATGCATGAAGAAGTGGAGTCATATAGAAGTGGAGGCATGAACAAGTGGAGGCATGAAGAAATGGAGGCATGAAGAAGTAGGAGCATGGAGAAGTGGAGGTATGAAGAATTAGAAGCATGGAGTGGAGGCATGAAGAAGTAGAAATACGAAGAAGTGTAGCCATGATGAAGTGGAGGCATGAAGAAGTGGAGGCATAAAAAACTAGAAACATGAAGTGGAGGCATGAAACCGATTATCACGATAACCTCTTCTATTAATTGATCACCCTTCTACGTATCGAGTTATTGAGAAATTGATTGATTTTTTAGGGCTTATCAATCCTTTGGGGTATTTAAAGCCGCAAATAATTTTGAATTGTAGGAATAATTCTTTTTTTATTTAATATTGCATTAAGGTTTTGTTTTAGAATAACAATGATTATTCCAGATTTCTGATTCCGTACCTCTGTTTATTAGAACATTCTCACATTCCGCTTGAGGTTTATTGAATGAGGTTTTTCTAAGAACGTAAGATGGGGAGGTAAAAAAAGTATATTAGGTTATTAGAATATGTAGGAAAGCTAAATGTTTTCCATAGAATAGAAGAATTTAAGATTGTAACCATCAGGGAAGCATTCACTCACTAGTCTGTCCAACAATGTAGCCATTATTTGAAAGAATCTGTTCGAGTGGAATTTCCTTCTTATTAACAGAATATGAAGAGAATATTTGGCTATGAGTAGGGTAAAAAAAAAAACACAAAAATCCTGAGCAGGAGTCTGCGTCAGCGATTAATTAATCACATTAGCAGACGGCTGTAATCAGAAACGAGTCGTCATTATGTAATGTTTAGATGGTTAGATATCTACTTTTATGGTAAACTAGCTGAAAAGCTACACTCTGTATTGACATTTAAGCTAGCTAAATGCGGAGGATTAATTGGGCTTCAGACCCAAAACAAAAGGGATCTCTAGTCCAGGATAGAAAACTAAAGAGATCACTGGTCCTTTTGAAAAACAGCAATGATAATTTTGAAAAAAATGACTATGGAACTTCAAAACCTTACTTTAAATCTGATTCATGCTAATTTAAATCTGATTTTGGTAATTTAAATCTGATTCATGCTAAGTCCAATTCCGACCAAAAGAAAGATTTGGGTCGAAACTTCGATTTGGGCCGAAACTTCGATTTGGACCGAAACTCCAATTTGGGGCGAAATTCCGATTTGGACCGAAAGCCCGATTTGGGCCGAAACTCCAATTCAGGCCGAAAATTGATTTATTCATATCGCAAATTCTGCGGAACTGCAAAACCTCACGTCACGAAACCTATCACTTTAACTCTGATTCCTTGGCATTTTGAAGAAATAAAATTGATTTCCTCAATTTATAAACTTTTGGAATTCTGTTAAACTGAATTTAAACAAAAATTTAAATTAAACTCAATATAAATTAAAACGTTTAAAATCATTAATTTTTTCAAATTTTAATCTTTAACTGTTCCCTCTTCATCTGGACAATTCTGAATGTTCAGTCACCAGATGAAAGGCATATTTTCAATCCCGAGATCATTCTGACACCAAAAAGGTATAATATGTATAGAAGTGTGGACCGAATTAGAGGGATTTCAGTCTCAAGGGCGGACAGAATTTGTCGTTTATTTATTCAAATATCAGTTTAGGGAAGTTAGAAGCGGAATAAGCTCATCCATTGGTTGTCACTAATTTGTGATGAACAGATCAGAAATGGTGTCATAATAAATGGAATGAAATGATTACAACTGATTTTAATCAGTCACCTCAGGGTTCCATTGTCAGTTTCATTCCAGTGTTCGGCTTTGTAGGTTATTGGTCCGGAGGGCTGCTAAACCAACTGGCATGCAGAAATGATTTTTTTAACGCCAGCTCCGATGCACTGAATACAGAGAATAAGAAACACAGAGAATGAGAAAATCGCTTGAAATCAAAACATAGAAACACACAAAGAACAATCGAAAGAGCAAAGCCAGGAACACCACGAAGAGATAGACAGGGGCCAACAGTTAGGAAATTTTCGGAAATTTATAAATCAACTTTTTGAAAAACATCTTAGCAAAGAACAACTCTTGTTTTAATTCTTTGTGTATAAGCGTGCTAGGGTCTTATACCAGGTTGGAAAAGTAACTGAACTGGTGTCACAAAAAATTTATTTCAATTCCAGATAAGTACTCCCCGCTCAAGTCTAATGCACTTTTCCATCCTTCTCTGCCAAGCTTCTATGCACTGCTGGAAGGATTGTTCTTGGATGCCACTCAACCCCGTCGTTACAGTCCTTTTGATGGCCCCACGCCTTCAAAACTAGCCCCCTTGATGATTCCCTTGAGCTTGCGAAAAAGAATAAAGTCACACGAAGCAAGATCAAGTGAACCGGGAGGTTGTTTCAGTACGGCGATGATGTTCTTCTCGGTCAAGAACTGCCGGCGTTGGGAACAGGTGCGCATTGTCGCAGTGAAGCAGCCAAGATTCGTCCTGCTATAACTACCGCATGTGAAAAAAATTCAATGGCCGCAGAAAGCTAAGATTACAGCTATATACTCCCAAGATTCCATGTTAGATGATAACACAATCCCTTTATCCCTTTTTTTGTCCATAACTCACACAGTACATCCAGTTCGGTTACTTTTCCGACAGACCTCGTATAATATAAGGTAACCAAAAAAGTCCTTATCATTTTTTTTACGTCGCGCTGGAAGAAGTGATCATTGATAACCAAATGAGTTCGTCACGTGCCGGAAAATCGGTGAGGGTGAGGTCACTGTTATTAAACAATGCGGGTGCGGTGCGCATACACATCAGTCATAGCTCGAGCAGCGACGAAGAAACATGGCGGTGTCGAAACAGCTATTTCGGGGTTGTATGCTTTATGACTTTAAGGTGGGGCTTGTCTGCAGCTGCATTAAATGAACGAATACGTTCAGCCTTTGGGGATAATGCTGTGAGAGAACGCACCGTCAGGCATTGGTTCCATAAGTTAAGGTCAGAGGATCTGTTTCTATGTGATGAACTCCGCAGTGGCCAGCCAGAGGTGCTGGATGATGAGGCCCTGAAGGCTGCTATAGAGGAGGACAATAGCCAAACCTGTGGTGAGCTTGTCAGACGCTTTCAGATTACTGATAAAACATTCAGATTTCACTTGCACTGCATAGTGAAGGCGTACAAGCTGAGCAAGTGTGTACCCCAAACATTATAGGCAACCAACAAGCAACAATGTGTGACAGCCTGTTTCTCGTTGATTTTCCGGCATCGCAACGTACCTATATTTGATCAAGTGCTGAATGATGAATAGTGAGTTCTGTATGATACTCCCAAGCGTGTTAGACATTGATTGTCACCGCGGTACCCTGTGCCTCACACCAAAAGACAAGTCTACACTCACGCAAGATCCTGCTCTGTACGTCGAAAAGTGGTGCACTATGAGCTGCTACCAATGGTCAAAACCATCACTGCGGACCTGTACTCGCAGTGGTTGGAACGTGTACAACAGACACTAAAGTAGTAGGAACCAGCATTGGTTGATAGCAAGAATCTACTGTTCCTCTATGACAATGCCAGGCATCACGTGGCGCGGGTAGTCAGGGATAAAATACGGCGACTTAGCTGGGAGACACTGTATCATCCACTTTACTCCCCAGAACTTGCGCCAACAGATTACCACTTCTTCCATTCGTTGAACAACCACCTTCGTGGGAAATCCTTTACAAATGAGGCAGACTTGATGTGACGAAAGACATGCCTTATCTCAGTTGGGAGAGCAGAGCCCGCCTCCTTGCTTTTGCAAAAAAGCACCCGTCGAAATCAGGAGATCAAGAAGGGGTGTGACGAAAGACATGACTTACCTCAGAATTCGAAACGAGCGCGAAAGTGTCATGCTTGCAAAGTGATGATAAAAAGAAATATGGCCGCTATTGAAGACACAATTTATGCGCGTTTATCTCGTCCAAAACGAGACGATATTTGTAGACATGCAAATTTTGGCCGTATTGGAATAGCATAAAAAGTGGGGTGGCAGTAGCACTAGGGAAGCTAAGTTATTTGGCGGATAGCATGCAATAGAGTTGGACGGACAGATTGACAGACGGACAAAGAGGAAGTCGAAGTAGGCACGGCTGAGTTGGTGTCTGTTTCACAACTGCCCAGTGTAACGGCTGAGAAAGGGAGCCATGCAATCCATTTCTTTGAGGCGACCGAAGAAGAAGAAAAAATAGCTGGCCTGCCGGCGAGCAGCGCACTTCACTTTTTGACCCCGCCTCTCACCACCATTTTTTTCTACCCTTGAGATAGGAACTCACAGACTTCTTCACGTTCAAGATGGTTTATTTTTACTGCCCGGATATTGCGCAGCTGGAGGCCCGTTGGCAAAAGGTTCTGGATGCTGATGAGGGTTACTTTGAGGACTAACATCAAATTTGTTTTATTTACATTATTCGGCCTTCTTCAGTTGGTTTGAATGTCGAACTGAACCCTTTATTTCGCTCACTAGTGTAGACTCATCTCAGAAATATAGACAAATATCAAGTTTGCTGTGTCAAATTTGATGTATATCTTTTTTTTGTAATAAATCAAAAAACGGTAAAGACTTTTTTTTTTATCAATTATCACTTGTATCAATCCTTCTCTATGCAGTAAATTCCTTACAGAGAAGACACGAAGCAACTGAGATTTGGTTCTACAGAAGGATGATGAGAATACTGGGGACGGAACGTGAGTGACGACGTAGCTTTAAGAAAAATGGAAATGAAAAGAAAACCTATATTTAAAATCAGAAAAAGACTGTTGAAACTTCTTGGAAACATAATGAGGAAAGTTGGCTAGGAGAATTTGACACTTACAAGACGGACTGAAGGGCAGAGGTAGTCAGAGTCAATATAACTAACAAGTTTGTCTAAATAGATAGCAAAACAAGGAATGGAAGAGATAGTGAAAAAAACAAACATTGCTTAAAGGATCGGAAGTTGTGAAGAGCCATGACTGCCCACGTCCTGAAGGGACTCGGCACATAAGAAGAAGTAGACTTAGCAAATCATTTTACAATGTGGTAGCTGTGTCTCTGTTCATAAGCTTTTTGTTTATTTTTTTACCGTGGTAATAAAATCTATCTATTCGAAGTTCCGTTATTGAATTTGCATTTAAATATAAAAATAATCAGGTTTAGCTGCCGGTTATTTGATTATGGGAAGGTATAATAGGAGAGAGAGAGAGAGAGATGGGGAGAGAGAAGAGAGAGGGAAAGAGAGAGAGGGAGAGAGGAAGAGAAAGAGAGGATGAGGGAGAAAGAGAGAGAGAGATGGGGAGAGAGAAGAGAGAGGGAGAGAGAAAGAGAAAGGGAGGATGAGGGAGAAAGAGAGGGGAAAAGAGAGGGAGAGAGAGGGAGGAAGAGATGGGGAGAGATGAGATAGAGAGTGCGAGAGAGAGAGAGGGAGAGAGGCAGAGAAAAAGAGGAAGAGAGAGAGAGAGAGAAAGAGAGAGAGAGAGAGAGAGGAATATAGGAGACAGGTTAAAAAGTTCTCCCCGCATTCCCATATCTATGACTAAGCTTTCCTACATTGGATGAAATGGGATTGGGTCACTCGAGCTATATCTTTGAAGCGCACTGCTGTCGGGGGCAAACAGAGCAGATTAAAGGATGTCCAATTAATTGATATCTATATCATTCGAATATAATTACACAAGAATAATCATTTCATTAGGAAGATGTAAATCAGTTATTATATATATATATATATATATATATATATATATATATATATATATATATATATAGAGAGAGAGAGAGAGAGAGAGAGATAAATGTTTTCAACAGGTTTAATCAATTAACACAGTTTGGTAAGCAGATGGGAAAGAGAAAACGGAATTGCCAAAGTATGTTCGAATCCAGCCCGTAAAAGAAAATCCCGAAACGAAATCGAAAACCCTATTATATATATATATATATATATATATATATATATATATATAATATTACAATGAATCATTCATACAAAAAGTAAATTAGTAAAGTTAATGATATAAAATGACGAAATCCCTTCGCTTACAAAATTTTTAAAGATGCATTAACCTACTAATCTCTCGATGAATGTTATGATCCTTGTTTTTTTTTTAAATGATAAGCTGTATAATGTCTTTTTTTTAAAAATACATCAGTTCTTTTAAATCAAATATGTGGTGCACTTCAATTTGTATTACAATGAATCATTCATACAAAAAGTAAATTAGTAAAGTTAATGATATAAAATGGTGAAATGCCTCGCTAACAAAATTTTAAAGATGCATTAACCTACCAATCACTCGAAGAATGTTATGATCCTTGTTTTTTTTTTAAATTATAAGCTGTATAAGGTCATTCTTAAATACGCAAGTACTTTCGACTGTACATTCAGTCATCTTCAGGCATGGAAATCATTTTGTTTTTGGGATAACAATTGAGACATTATTCTTTTTAAACTGTTTACAATAGCACTTATACAATCCGGAGTCTTCGTTCTTCGAGACTGATATCTTAACAGGCGCCCGGGAGAGTCTGACTCTTGTTATTTTTATGCTAGACGGCTGTTGAACCTGCAAGAGGGTTCATTCGCCCTTTCATAGGCGAAACCATTAATCTTGTTGGATGCTGAGACACCTCTTCAGCAGAAAAGTCTGATGGACGAGTCAGTATAGTCACCGAATTAACACTGAGTTACATCTAGCACTCGCAAAGGGACTTGACTATAATATAGTGTATCTATACTGGACTCTCCTGTCGTTTTTCGATATATGATAGACAAGCAGCTCAGTTCTTAGAAACCGACACCCAGACACCTGCACATATGATTTCATTATGGTGGGGAAAGCTTCTATAGAGACCTGGTGCACAAAGTCTGCAAACGACCCTTCGCCGAGTACATGTGTATGTGTATGTATGAATGTGTGTGTAATGCGTTTTGTCCTTTTTGTTACGTTGGTAGGGCTACGCATGCGCACGAACGAGAGGTACTGGGAATTTTTGAATTTAAAAAAAATTTTTTTCTATCAGCCAAATTCATTTAGAGTCTTTTTCTTTTTCTTTCCATCATTTTTCTTAGTAGGCATTCTACAATGTGATATTAGATCTGCCAGGAATGGTGAAAGGTTGGAAAGTCATGGCGAAAATTTACTGCAGACTCTCAAGATATTTACGTCGTAGTGAATTGTTTTCTCCTTTGATGAGAGTAGCATTTTTATGTCAAAATTGTAATCAGTCTCATTACGGTAGGCAACCAAAATATTTGATGTATTCTTTTGTATAATGTCTCTTTTGTGTTCATATAATCTTTTATTTAGATTCATTCAGAAAAGAAAGTATTTTTAGCCGAGGCGTTTCGACCTATCAGGGACTTTATCAAAGGATGAAACACGTCGGCTAAGAATAGTTTTTCCTCTTATCTCTTTTTATTCATTTTGTTCCTTTATAAATACACTCTATCAGAATATATATATATATATATATATATAAAGGGAAGATGTTATAGTAGTTCCAAAGAGAAAAAAATGTGTGTATATTAAAAAGAAGAGAGAAACCGCAAACGTTTTTGGTTGTAATGCTTTAAAACATAATATATATTTTTTAAAAATCAACATTACAACCAAAAACATTTGCGGTTTCTCTATTCTTTTTAATATATATATATATATATATATATAGTAAAGGTAATCCGTTGGTATATAATGCTATCGGATCCTAGTAATATAAAATATTAAAACTGATCCACAAAAAAGAGTTCAATGTATTTATTATTGCAAAGCAAAAGTTTATTTCGACAGACGAAAATATAATTCGTTAGTCTTATTAGATTATTCCCCATATGAGGTTATTTTTATTTTATTGTGTGTGTATATATATATATATATATATATATATGTGTGTGTCTGTGTATATATATATATATATATATATATATATATATATATATATATATATATAAATATACGTACACAAGAAAAAAATAAATGAAAACTTAACCCCGAACTGTGTCAGTTTTTTTTAAGGAAACTCTTAAAGGACGAAACACGTCACAATTAAACCTTTTAAACTTTGTCATGTACTTTTTCCCCAATATTGTTCTTGATATATAAAATATATATCGTTATCTCTTTCTCTCTCTCTCTCTCTCTCTCTCTCATATATATATATATATATATATATATATATATATATATATATACATACATATATATATATATATATATATATATATATATATATATATATAAGTGACAGACTGTTTTATGTTAGATGCAATAGACGATTGCGTCAGGCATGAATTAGCCTGTCGCCTCTAAGTGTTGACTTCAATGTTCACTTTTATATTTACACACGCTCTATCTCTGAAATTGAGCTCTTTATCCCAGAAATATAGCACACCTTAAGAGTATATTTCTTCATATATATATATATATATATATATATATATATATATATATATAGTGTGTGTGTGCCTGTGTATTCAAGTCGCTTAACTATTCTTGTATTTCCTTTACTCTCTCTTTCTCTTCCTCTTCCTGTTTCGAAATTCCTTCACCAACAATTTCAATTCTGTAGCATAAAAATCAATTATTAAAATAAAACTATTTATTTTCTAATCTTTTACTCACGCCGATGTCGCATTCTGTTTAAATTAAAATCGGACCATCGCTTTGGCCGTAAAAAAACAAATGAAAGAAAATCAAATTCCGATAGAAAGACGAGATAGATAGATAGATAGATAGATAGAGAGAGAGAGAGAGGGAGAGAGAGAGAAAGAAAGGGAGACAGACAGACAGACAGAGAAAGAGAGAGAGAGAGAGACAGTGTGTATTATATTTCCGAAATAACTCTTTTAATCTCCAATAAGATCAATGTAAAACTAATCTCTTTATGGCTGCCAGTGACGCAGACACAATCGCCTACACGTAACAGAGGCGGGTGAAAAAATGACTTGTAGAGACAAATACGAGAAGAGACTCAGCAATTAAAGATAATACACTACAGAAAAATAATTTGATGTATTGTTTTGTATAATGTCTCTTTTGTGTTCATATGATTTTTTTATTTAGATTAAATATATATTATTCTTACCTGTCTGAAAAAGAAATAGCGTCAAGTAAACAGATCTTTTGTCGCTTTTGTTATCATACAGTTTATTTATTCAGGTTAAATCTGTTTATCACAGTTGATATCCGCAGAACGATTACCATGAAAATATTCATAGAAAAAGCACAGGGAAGCCATGTTACGGCACTTGGGAAAGTGATTGAAGCCGAGATGTCAGGGCAGGACCAATAACATTACAGATTTTTCTTTGGATTTTATTAAAAATCTCTAAATACATAGCAAAAACCCCAGGTCACATGTCATAGCAATATTCGAAGCATGGAAGAACGGTAGACTTGTAAATATGTTAGAGCACCTCTAGGCAGTGTAATGGTTAACAAGCTTGTCTCGCTAGAACAATTACGACTGAGTAGTGAGTTCGATCCTCACTGGGTAACCCCTACTTTCGACCTTGTGCTATATCTAAGCTACGCTTGAAAAATCACTATAAATATGTCAGATCGATTCTGGGGAGAACAATTATCTAACAGGACACAACCAACTTTCTTAGCAGTAGAACTAGTGACTGATTTAATATAATCTTTCCACTTCATGCCAGCAGAGAACGTTTGCCAGAGAAGGCGCAACAATCCATTCTCTTGGAGGATAGCATCAGCCATGCTGATCAAAAGCAGAAAGGAGTGTCTCAGATGATTAATAGAAAGTAGTTTTGTTTTCGAGTCGATAAGACATGACTTGCCCCAGTTAACAGCAGATTTTTAGGTCACTTTTGAAACCAGCTTATCGAATCGAAGAGACTTTCGTAACCATCGTTCTAGGGACTAGAAAAAAAATATTCAGTTGGTTTTACCGATGAAGGAAGTATCTGATTCTTTTTACCATACTGTATCTTTATAGGAGTCAGATCACACCAAAGGCAGACATAGACAGATAAATTACATATACACGTGGAAAGTTATAGGTAGACGGTTGATGACGGACAAAGTATAAGCATGTTTTTATAATATATATTCACTGATGGAGTTTGACATTTTACCGTGGAGCGCAAGTTAGGAAACTAATAAAGCAGATCATGACTGCTATATTGAAACCTTCACTGGATGCATTATACTCTTGTAGCATTGTGGTTCTAGACTAAATCAAGCGTAATAATGTCTTTTATTTCAAATTTAAGTTCATTAACGCTTACTTCTCTTATCTTAATGGTGGAAAGGCTATCTTGTTCCATTCAGTACCTCCAACACAAAGCGCCACGCTCACGGGCACATCACGTGGAAAAACCAGTTCTCTTACGCTCACTGAAGTTAAGCAACGTCGAGCCTGGCCAATAACTAAATGGATGACCCCCTCCCTACTTTCGGGAATACCAGGTGCTGTAAGACAGGATGTGCGGGTGGTGTGATGCATAATGACTCTGAATTGTTAGTTGGAGAGCCTAGTTCCAATTCCAGTTGGGTTCGTTATAATCACTTACGCGCAAGTACTATTGGGAACGGTATGAATCTACCGCTTTTCCCTCCATATATGGGTTAATTAGTAAAACTTGTATCACTAAAACCATTATTATCTAAAAAACAAAAACATAAATAAAATAAAATTTCGGACAAAATACTTAGATTTCGACATTAAATAAAACATAAAGGTTGATATGCTGCTGCTAAAAAAAAAAAAAAAAATCAACCAGCCAATTAATCAACCAACCGCTCAAAACAAAACTGGTATTCCTGGTTTTGGGTTAAATTTCCTTCCTCCTCTCTAATTAGTATGTCTTCGCGCTTGGACGATCCTTAACGGCTAGTCAGACTCCTTAGTCTGGACAAGGAAGAGTTTTAAGGTAGACGCTGAGAAGAATGAATCCCTGGTACGGGAAAAAAGGACAATCTCTTATAACATAACATGTAGGATTTGTGAGCAAGAACAGAATTTTGGGATCCACTCTGTGAAGTGAAGATGCTTCTATGACGCGTGAAAAAAAGAAGACAATCTCTTGCAACACGTGTACTGGATTTGTGAGTAAGGATACACTTTTATAATAATCGCTAGCTTTTCCGTTTCTGTATCTGAGAGAAGGCATGTAATACATTTATACATTTTGTTAGCATATTCTCTTTGCAAAAAATAAAACTATAATTTAAATTCTTCCAACTTAGCAGATCTTTTTTTAGATTGTTTTTTTTTTTTTTAATGTTTTGATAAATAGTACGGCTAGCATAACTAAGGCCGCTCGCATAGATTTCATAAATCCATTATTACTGGGTTTGTAGTTAGTTGTCCTATATACTGTTATGGACTTTTTAGAAGCTCACAGTTTAGCATTACTTTTATTACTCTTCATTTTAAAACCTACCTAGAGACTATCTCTACTTTGGTCATCTCGTATTTCTTGTATAAATAAAATCCGATTATTGTGATATATGTAAAAAGTCAGCAAATTGTTGAAGGTTAAAATAATCTCCCTTTTTATTTTTATTTTTATTTTTTACTGTTCTTTCTCAGTTTCTTTCCCGGGAGATGTTTTCAAGGCGTGATGTCAACAAATTTTTGCGAAATCGTATTTCCTAGTCTCACTCCCTGGATCACCTACGCGTACAGCATAGACAAACCTAATCAACTAAAAACGGCCATATTTATTGTCGTGTGGCCTAAAAATACTTCCGATGTCGTGTATTGAATGACTATTGGCTGCGGTATGCCGCCATCTTAGACCAACATGAATGGAACAGGCTTTCCTCAAATTACTGTGGGTGGATATATTGGCGTGTCAAACATTCAAACGAAGCAGACAATCAATAGGAAATCAGTTTTATTTCTTCATTCTTCATACTATTTTCTCCCGGTTCTGGCTGCTCTTCTGTCCATCTGTAACTATCCTTTCATTTTATTTTAATTTCTTTCATTTCTTTTATCATATTCTGAATACTTAAAGCGAAAACAATGAAGAAAGAAAGAAAGAAAATATGTAATAGAAAGAAAAGAGGAGAGAAAGAATACTTAAAATGAAAACAATGAAGAAAGACAGAAAGAAAATATTGGAATAGAAAGAAAGCAGGAAAGAAAGAAAATATGGAATAGAAAGAAAGGAGGAATGAAAGAATAGTTAAAATGAAAACAATGAAGAAAGAAAGAAAGAAAATATGTGATAGAAATAAAAACGAAAGAAAGAAATGATACTTAAAGTGAAAGCAATGAAAAAAGAAGAAAAGAAAATATGAAAGAGAAAGAATATTTAAAATGAAGGCAATCAAGAAAGAAGGAGAGAATAATGGAATAGAAAAGATATGGATTAGAAAGAAAAGAGGAAAGAAAGAAAGAAGGAAAGAAAGAAAGGAGGAGAGAAAGAAAGAAGGAAAGAAAGAAAGAAGGAAAGAAAGAAAGTAGTGAATATAAAAGCTGAAGGTAACATAATGAATTAGAATGAAAGAAAGAAAGAAAAAAGCTAGAAAGAAAAAGCAATCATTTATTAACAGCAAAAAGTGACAAAAAAGAAAAACAGTTGAGACGAAGAGAAAGCCGAAGTTTATGTAGAGAGGAATAGGAGGAGTAGGAAGTATGAAGGGCTAAGAGAAGGAAGGAGGAAATCATAAAAAACAATCTGATATCATTGCAAGTGGACCAAGAAGTGATAGCTTTTTCTCTTGGACATCATTTTGCCTGTCTTTTCCTGTTTGATTTTTTATTTTTTATTTTTATGCACCTTCAATCGCCAACCGAGTCAGAAAGAAACGTTTTTATTTTCATCCTTCGCGTTCCATGCAAGTAAAACCTGTTTCCTGCATCCGTGCGTGGAATACACACACAAAAACAAACCGGCTGCCGTTGGCTAACTGCCCACACATTTTTGTTCCATATTTGCTTTCTTGAAAACGCAAGCGTATTTAAAGGAACTCTTGCAGACCGTCGAAAGATTTCATTTAAGTTGATACTGAAACGAACTGCAGACAGGAGGAAAGGGGATTTTTCTTCAGCTACATTTCTGGGGTTCAACTCAGTGTGGGAAAATGATATCAATCATGAATGTTTGAAATTGATGCATGAATCAAATTTATGATAGTACCTATTAGTTCAACTTCTATATTCGTTCTCTATCTCTCTCTCTCACACACACTCTCTCCCTCTTTATATTTATACATATATATATATATATATATATATATATATATATATATTATTAATAGAAATCTTATAAGTATAAGAAACTATACTGTTTGAAAACCTTCGGTGTCTTGATTTGCAAATAATCAAACCAATACCAAAGGGAAAAAGGTATAAAAAAGGAAGAACTACGAACATGTACGTTAGCCGAAAATAATCGTCTAGCATGCAAGTCCAAAGCCTAACGAAAAAAACCCCGATACGAGTACGCAAAATAAATAAATGAAGAGCTCAATACAGTGAGTAGAGCAGACCTAGTTAAACCTAGAAACCAGACAAACCTACCAAGGTTTCACCTTGCAGTGATTGTCAGGAAGGCAGCCTTCCCTGATGATCCGCTTAGGTGAAACCCTGGTAGGATTGTCTGGCTCTCTAGGTTTAACTATATATATATATATATATATATATATATATATATATATATATATATATATATCAGGTCATCCCATAAGTTCTGTCCGAATTTTAACTTTTTGTTAAAGAGTATTTTATAATGTCTAATGGAGCTGAACATTATTTTTATGTTTAGATGCATTTAAACTGATCAAATTTTATTTCAGAGAACAATAAAATTAAATTTTGTTTGATTAAAACCCTACTAACATGGAAGTACCCAAGAATCATTTGAAGCACATAATGCTTTATGTGTTCAAGAAAGGAAACTCAGCAGCCGAAGCCGCTAGAAACATTCACTCAGTTTATGGAGAGGAATGTGTGAATGAAAGAACTTGCAGAAGATGGTTTGTAAAATTCAGAGGTGGAGATTTCACCCTTGAAGATGAAGATCGAACCGGACGTCCAGTTGACTTTGATGAAAAGCTTCTTGAAGCAGCCCTTGAAGAAAATCCTGCTTTATCAGTTGAGGAATTGGCAGTGGTTCTCAGTTCAAACCATACAACTGTTCATCGTCATCTTCAACAACTTGGAAAAGTTCCTAAACTTGGAAAATGGGTGCCTCATGAATTGTCTGAAAACAACCTCAAATCCCGAGTTGACATCTGCTCTTTTCTCCATTCTCGCCAACTTCTTTCACCTTTTTTGGGTAGACTTTTGACTGGCCACGAAAAATGATCTTTTATCGAAATGTTAAGCGTCGTAAACAGTGGCTTGGTAAAGGGGAAGGACCCCAGCCACAGCCGAGAAGGGAACTTTATGGGCAAAAAGTTCTTCTTTCAATCTGGTGGGATCGCCAAGGAATAATAATCCAATTCTCAACACCTAATGCAACAATTAATGCTCAAATATACTGTCAGCAATTAGAGCGTTTGAACCAAGCTTTGAGGAAAAAGACCTGTTCTAGTGAATCGAAAAGAGGTGATGTTTCATCAGGACAATGCGCGACCCCACACAGCAAGAATCACGCCACAAAAGATTGGTTGGGAGAAAATTCCTCATCCACCTTATTCTCCCAATCTTGCTCCTTCAGACTACCATTGTTTCGTAGCTTACAGAATCATTTGGAAGAAACAGCTTTTGTAACACAGGAAGAGGTTAAAACTGACATTTGTGAGTTCTTCGAATCAAAGCCAAAAGAAATTTACAGTAATGGAATTAGTAAGCTTGTAAATAGATGGAAGGAAGTCATAGATAATCAGGGAAAATACATTGTTGATTGAATCTGTAATTAAATGTAACATTTGGTCACTTGTTTTCTTTATTCAAAATTTGGACAGAACTTATGGGATGACCTGATATATACATATAATAATAATAATAATAATAATAATAATATTAATGGACTTTCGATGTATGAGGATCTGCCAGCTTATTGATTCAGTTATGAAAGTTTGTGCGATAATCTTGTGGCATTTAAGACCCGCTAGTGATTTACAAAGAAGGTCCCATATGGGGCAAGTGTGAGGATTGTGAAATAAGATCACTGTTAGATTTGGTGACCTTTTAGATCTTGCTCTCGCTTCTTGAAGATGATTCAGACAAGCAGATTGAAAATTGCTGAGTCCACTAAAACACGTTGATCTCCATTCTACCCGCTCCAAAGCTAAGCGCTCAAGGGTGTTATGTGGTATATTGACTGCTGACAAGTTGCTTTTCAGCTTGTCTTTGTATCTTAGCCATGGGCGTCCTACATTCCTGTAGCCCTGATCTAACTGGCTGTACATTAGGATCTTGGGTATCCTGTCATCAGACATTCTCAAGACATGACCAGTCCTCCATAACTGAGACTGTATGATAAAAGTCTCGATTCCTCCAATATTACACCTGTTAAACAGGTCTACCTTTGATGTCCTATCTTGAAGCTTAACCCCACAGATTGCACGCAGACAGCTTTTTATGGAAAACATCTATTGGCGTATATATATATATATATATATATACGCCAGCTAGATGTTTATATATATATATATATATATATATATATATATATATATATATATATATATATTAATGCATGTTTCATTAAATAATATAGACAAGTTTTGTCTATTTATTTTAAGTAAGTTCCTTTCATATTGTCTGAAAAGCTTAATAACATTATCATTGAAAGACGAAAGGAAATCACCATATTGATACATGTTTAAATCCAATATAAGCTTTCGGCTTACATAAGCCATTATCAAAGATGACAATTACTTTTTAATATAATCAAGCAATACACGAACGAAACAATGATGATAGTCTGTCTTTGTTGCATGAAAAATTTCAAAGCAACGGCTAACTCGTGTATACGAGATGCGGAAGCGAAAATCGTGTCGCAGCTCGTGACATCACACATGATCACGCGAGAGTGAAAACGAGAAGTATTAAGTATTGGAAGCCTTTGGTATAAACCAATGGCTGCTGTTATCAATTATAGGCATTTAAGAATATTTGTGGAGATTTCGTAGTTTATTTTGTTCAGGTTAGGTTCCGACTGTTTTATGTATATGGCTTCAATAATTTTTAGTTTTTGTTTATTGTTTTCATGTTTAAGTATAATTGTATTTTCAACAAGGATTTTCCGGAATTGTGTATGCGGCCAGGCATGTTGTTTTAAATGCCTAAAAAAGTTAGTTATCATTCAAATGTAGAGTCAAGCGTCGTGAAAGCGAGTTTGTGGTGTGACCAACATAAATATTATTTAATCCATTGGAGATACAATCTCTCAAAGGGCACTTGAATTTGTAAACTATGTTGGTCTTTTGCAAATCGCTTTATTATTTATACAGATGAAATAATTCAACTTCAAAAACGGTTCCAAATAATTCTGTCCTTAAATTCACATATGAACTTAATACTAATAATAAAATCCCCTTCCTTGACATATTGATAAACACAAATAATAACAAATTTACTATTTCGCCATACAAAAAACCGACAAGCATAAATTCATGTATACTTAACTACAAGAGCGAATGCCCATATTACTACAAAATAGCAATTATAAAGAATCTAATACATCGTGCAGAAACTAATTCATCCACCAAACAGATTTTTTACAGTGAACTAAAGAATATAAAACAGACACTTATTAATAATAGCTTTCCAAACTATATAGTTGATGAACAAATAAGATGCTTTCTTAGAAATCTCAATAATAAGCAAATTGTACATAATACTGCTTCTACTGATCTCAAATATATTAATCTCCTATATCGTAATCAAATGCATACTAATTATAAACAAGATGAACACATACTAAAAAATTTAGTAAATTCTAATATATCAACTACAGATCCTAGCAAAAAAATTAAATTAATCATATACTACACTAAATCTAGTATATCCAACTTAATACTTCGCAATGATTCTTCTCCCCCGGTTAGCGATTTGCAAAAAACCAACATAGTTTATAAATTCAAGTGCCCTTTGGGAGAGTGTATCTCCAACGAATTAAATAATATTTATGTTGGTCACACCACAAACTCGCTTTCACGACGCTTGACACTACATTTTAATGAAAACTCTAACATTTTTAGGCATTTAAAACAACATGCCTGCCCGCACACACAATTCCGTAAAATACTTGTCGAAAACACAACTATACTTCCACATGAAAACAATAGACAAAAACTAAAAATACTTGAAGCATTATACATCAAACAGTTAAAACCCAACCTAAACAAAATCAACTATGGAATCTCTACAAATATTCTTAAATGTCTATAATTTCTATAATTGGTAACAGAAGCCATTGGTTTATACCAACGGCTTTCCTTATTTCATTCTCCAATTCACTCTCGTGTAGTCATGTGTGACGTCATGAGATGCGGTGCGATTTTCGCTTCTAGCGTCTTATATGCGCGTGTTCATCGTTGCTTAGTGATCCACTATGTAAACAAAACAATGACAGACTATCATCACTGTCGTGTCCGTATATTGTTTGATATGTTTGTAATTACATCTTTGATAATGGCTTGAGTAAGCCGAAAGCTTAGATTTTATTAAAAAATAATGGATAAATATTGTGAATTTCTTTTTTCGGTTAATGATAATGTTATCAGACTTATCAGAAGATACGAAAAAATTTTACATAAAATAAATAGACAACACTTGTCTATATTATTTAATGAAACGTGTATAAATATATATATATATATATATATATATATATATATATGTCATTCGCAGACAGTATTGTTTCGCTGTATCACAGCTCCTCAGTGCGACTAGACATCCGAATGTTTCAAGCTCGGACCGGTGTCAGTCAGAGTTTCTACCACTGAGCTATCATCATTCGGCAGAGAGAAACAGCTAATTCTAGCGTATTGTTTTTACTAATGTAAACAAATGCCAATCATTTAGAGAGCTTCAATTCATTTTACCGAAGGGCTTTGCATTAGCGCAGGTGGCTGTTGTTTATAGAATAAGAGCTTAATTATGTCATTCACAGACAGTACTGTTTTGATGTATCACAGCGACTAGACCGGCATAAAATCAGGGGACGTTCTTTCATTTATTTCCAAAAACACCTTAAAATGTGATATTTTTTTTAATCAAACGATAAAATTCTAATACCTATTGTTCAGTCTTTCTCCAAGTTCCTCTTACTAGTTCCAATTTGGATTCGGCTGTCTACAATGTATTTTGATAAATTATAAATATTTTGTATGAGAAAAAATTATATTCTCTTTTTTAGCATCAGCCCCTTAGTAGAAATTTTGAGATTAGCAAAAGGGATGAAGATTTTCTTTAGGTCAAAGGAATAATGAAAAAGAGGACAATATCATTCTATTTTGCAAAAACAATTTGAAAAATATTTACCCTTTAAGAAGATAAAGACCCAAAACACTTTTCTAAATTATGTCAACATTATGTCAAAATTGTCTCGAGTAAATAAGAAAGGATCACAATTTTGGAAAATATGAATTGGCTTTCTCAATCACATGGCCCCTTTCTCATTGAAAGAGTTTAGGATATATTGGATAGCAGAGCCTGATGAGAATATACAACGAGTGAGAGTGAGCTTTTTTAATGCTTGAAGAATGCTTGGGAAGATCTGCCATGTACCTTTATTCAAAAACTGTTGGAAAGAATGTCAAGAATTTGTAAAGCAGTAATTAAGACAGGTGATGGTTTTATTTGCGAAGACAGGACATAATGCAATTGTATGATCATTTCTTATAGTTAAGTGCTAATTTTTTTGTCAAAATAAAAGCAAAACTGTCGTAAAAATGTTATCTTTTACATAAAAATACAAAAATATCACATTTTAAGGCGTTTTAAAAGAAATGCAGAATAGCCCAAAACTTTTTAACTGCAATATATATGTGATAGAAATTATTAGGACTTGAGATAATCATAATTAATTAATTCATCGAGTCTAGGAGACTCCTGAACAGAATGCAGAAAGCACTGGACGGACGTTACGTCCTATATTTGGGACTCAACAGCAGTGCGCATCCATTACTGAGAATTGAACACAAACCGTTACGATACGACGCAAGCGTCATGCCTACTATACCAACGGGCCTCGGCGATAAATAGGCAACGAATTAGACTCGATATAGCCCCGCTCTTCACATATTCCGTGGTGTAAATCATCAGAGTTACTTTTACCCATAGGACTATTCCTACACGAGCCACAACTACTATCCCCAAGTCAACTCTTTTTCTCTCAATTAAGAATTAATTAGTAGGATATATATCAGTAAATCATTATTATCTCCAAAAAATTCTTACCTTCTAAAATTATTTTCTGGCTTTAAATAACTTACAAAAGGTTGATAAAAAAATCAAATCAATCACAAAATATAATTTTTCCTTTTCAACTCTTCATAAATCTTTACTATTTCAGCTGAATCATTATAAATTTAATACCCCCATTCCTGGTTAAACTTCAATTTCATAAATAGAAATAGTTTTTTTTATATTTGATATTTTTTATAAAATTTTATATTTTATAAAATATAAAAACAGCACTGCTCTCGCCAAATATTTCTGGCAATGAAAAAATGATAGTATATCACAATGAATCAATTGGGATATTATAACAAGAGCTAAATCTTATAACGGGAAAGGAAATAAATGTAACTTATGACTTGTTGAAAAATTGGTTCTCTTAAAACATTTACATAACCCTAGCTTATTAAACAAAAGAAATGAATTGCTGTTTACATGTAGGCATAAAAATAAATATCAATTTAAATAGGTTGATCCTGATTAAATTTTAATATAAATGGACAGTTTTTTTTTTAGATATATTATGGTTTGTTTTATATATATATATATATATATATATATATATATATATATATATATATATATATATGTGTGTGTGTGTGTGAAAATTTCTCAGAGTTAGCCTGTAGAAAAAAAATATGTATAAAGGAAAGAAAAAAGAATTTAGAAAACACTATTGTATTTATACAATTTGCCTATTGTCTTATATATATATATATATATATATATATATATATATATATATATATATATATATAAATTAAAATAAAAACAAGTAATCTCTGTTTAATAATAAAAACTCAATATTCACAATTTAAATAAAATAAATGACTTACACACATATATATATATGCAAATCCCGTTTATTTTAAATGACAAATATAATTTTTAATATTAAAAGTTGTAATCCCACTATAAAACAGATATATTTTAAAAACTGAAATTACATAATGGCCAGTCTATACTCAGCACATGAAGACACTGTTGTGCATGAATCACCGAGTCGTTCTATCGGCAAGGGATAATAATTTATTAATATAGATATAGGTATTATAAAATATATACACCTGAAGATTGCAAGTTTCCATGAAACTCTGAGTCTTGCTTTCGACATTGGATATTATGTATATTCACTAATATATATATATATATATCTATATATATATATATATATATATATATATATATATATGTTTGGGAGGATGACACATGAAGTGTTGATTCGTTGATATGGGTAGTAGCACATATGGGTGCACATTCATGTGTACATTTGTACACGTGTGTGTATTCGTAGGTGCGTACGTGGGTTGATATTGAATATCATATGACCTTGTTGCGTTTTGCGGGTTTCTACACAAATTGTTGGACCGATGAGTGTCTTGCCCATGTAAACTTTACACATGTTACTAAACTAACACATCTTGTATCATTATCCCTGCAATTCTATCTGACAATATTATTGTGATTTCTAATTAATATTTGGAACTGGCGGTTCGGTTCTAAGAACGAAACTGCTAGAGCCTCATATGTCGAAAAACGATATATGAAAAAAGAAGAAAGAAAAAGAAAGAAAGAAAGAAAGATGAAAGAAAGAAAAAGAAAGAAGAAAGAAAGAAGAAAGAAAAATAATGAAGAAAGAAAAACAAAAAAGAAGAAAGAAAGAAAGACAGAAAAAGAAAGACGAAAGAAAGAAAGCTAAAGTAAAGAAAGAAAGGAAAAGCGAAATGCAAACACATAAAGAAAATATAAAAGAAAAAGAGGAAGAAAGAAACAAAGAAAAAAAAGAAGAAAATAAAAATTGTCAAAGAAAGAAACGAAGGAAAAAAAAGTAAACAAACTGTTTAGAAAATGTAGAAAAAATAAAAAAGAAGGCAAAAGAAAGAGGAATAAAAGAAGAATAAAAGAAAAAGGAAAGAAAAAGGAAAGAAACAGAAATATATTTAAAGGTGAAGAAATAAAAAAAAATAGGTAAAGAAAAAATAGAGTGAAAGAAAGAAATGTAAAACGAAAAAGGGGACAGAAAGAAAGAAAGAAAGATAGAAAGTAAAATAAAGGAAACGAAAAGATAAAGAAAGAAAAAGAATAAATAAATGAATGAAAGGGAAAAAAGTCAAAGAAAAAGAAAAGAAAAATTCTGAAAAAGAAAGCAAGATAGAAAACAAAGGAAACATCGAAGCCAAAGAGAAAAAGAGACATTTATAAAAAGGAAACAGAAAGGCGTAAGTAAATTTGTAATCAAATAGAAAAAATGAAAACGAGGCAGAAAAACTAAGGAAGAAAAAAAATTTAGATGAAGAATGAAATCAGAGAGAAAGGAAGGAAAGAAGCAAACAAGTAAGGAATTAATGGCAATGAAAGAAATCAAAGAAAAAATTCAGAGGAAGATGTTAAATTTGTAAGGAAAAGAAAAACAGCAAAGAAAAAAACAGGTAAAAATATTGTTTGGCGGAAAAGTAAATTGTTTGGATTGGGGGTTTATTCATACAAAAAATAAATTGTTTACTTCAACTTGAAGGACAGGAAAAGTTTGTGGCAAGATTACAGGAAAGGTTGGCAGGTTAGAGAAACAATGTAATGAAGCAGATAGAAAACTCAAAAAAATGAAGAATTTATTATAAATTTTATATAAACGATAGCGTATACTTATAAACAAGGAAGCCATATTAAGAGGAGGAAACAAAGCTACAAAGACGCAACAACGTGGGATAAAGGTTAGCCACTTAGTTTTATTAACCATTACTCTTGAGTAGAGAGTTCGAAACTCACAGGGTATTTCTTACGTGTGTCCTTGTTCCAAACAAAGTTAAACTTTATAAGCAAAACGTTCCAACGACTTGTCGAGTTATTTCTAAATGCATGTTGCCATATTTAGGCAGGAGATACCCAGGCCGCACTTTCTAGCCTCGATAGAGTTCAAAAGCGTCTCGGAGTCCGCGTTGGCGAAGAATTATTTTCCACATTCCAACAACTCTCTCAGGTGGGATGTGGGGAGTCTCACACTGCTGTATCGCTATTATCATGAAAAGTGAACGGACAAAGTGTTTCTCTTGGTCTTACCAGGTCTGACCTTCACGTCTAGGATCCGCCATGCCACTGACATAGTAGCAAACTTCCGACATTCCCTCCGTATTTCATCTGCGCGAAGTAAGTTCCACTCAACCGGCTTCTCTCCGTGAACCACTGCCCTAAGGAACAGACTTTCAAGAGAATGTTTCCCCGATCACTACAATCTTAACCTGTTCAACTCTAGAATCAACGGTTATATTCCACTCCTATCCATATAAACTACCACTTAACGTAACCCTCTACCTCGAGTGGGCCCCGGGCCTTGTATAGAGCGGACCTTTCTGTTATAGTGGAACACGCCAATTCTTTAGTTAATAGACTCTCCCACCTATAATAAGTAGGAGTAGTAAGAGTAACAAGGGGGGTCGTTCAACGGTTCGGTCTGAGTTCAGTCTGAAGTCGGACGACCGGCTGATCGGTTGAACTCTCTGCCTTCGGGCGGGGAGGAACCCGAAGGAGGCTACGCTGAAGGGCGGATTCTCTTTCGGGGAGGTAAACCGACCCTGAACCCGTTTATACGGGTTCAATGGGCACATTTTCGGAGAACCCACGGGCTCGGAGATCCCACGTTAAACCGGCCTTGTGCCACATGATGCCCACGTGTGTGGGGGGGTGACTAAATACTGTCGCTCAGTGGGTCAGTCAGTCGATGCCGGACAACCGTTAGTCGGATACTAAAGTATCAGCGACCACAACTAGATTTCTCTGCGTCATTACCTATTATATCAAGTTCATAACGTAATTAATTAAAAAGAAAAACAGACCATTTTAAGGTACCATTACAATAATTTATTTCACCAGAGTCCTTTTAAAAAGGACGCCGGATCATCAGGTAACACTTCCAACAACGAAATGAAACGAATTCATTTCGTTGTTGGAATTGTTACCTGATGATCCGGCGTCCTTTTTAAAAGGACAACTTGGGTGAAATAAATTATTGTAATGGTACCTTAATGTGGTTTGTTTTTTCTTTTTAATATTCAAGTGCGTGAAACCCAGTGTCACAAACTCACATCAATACAACTAGGTATATATATATATATATATATATATATATATATATATATATATATATATATATATGGAGAAATATAGTTTTAAGGTATACTATATTTATGGTATAAAGTGCTCAATATCAGAGACAGAGCGTATGTAAAAATAAAAAGTAGACATTGAAGTCAACACTCCAGAGGCGACAGGCTGTTTCATGCTGGACGCAATCGTCAAGCCGCGAATGCTGGATTTTTCCTCGGCTATTTATATATATATATATATATATATATATATATATATATGGGTCAGTGGTGCATTGCGGGTAATCTATTCTGACCGTTGTTTTACGGGAGTGACGATTGCGTCCAGCATGAAACAGCCTGTCGCCTCTGAGTGTTGACTTCAATGAATATATATATATATATATATATATATATATATATATATATATATATATATGTATGTATGTATGTATGTATGCATGTATGTATGTATGCATGTATGCATGTATTGGGTCGGGACAAAAAGTTTCTGTTGTTTTTCAAATGAATTTCAACGATAATATTTCGATATTCCTGTATCATGTGCCATTTGGTTCCATCTTTGGGGAAGATTCATGATTCCATCGTCCCAGAATTTGGCATCTTTGCAGATTATGAAGTGTTCTTTTTTAATTGGATTTCTTGCCATTAAGTGACAATGGTAAACTGAATAAATATCAATAAGATCTAGAAGAAGAAAAAAATAAGAAAAAAGGAGAAGAAAAGAAGAAGAAAGAAATGATAAAAAGATGAACAGGAAAGCATGAGAATAAAACGGTGGAACAAGGAGATAAAAGAGGAAAAAAGAGGAGGACAAAGAACAAGAGGAAGAAGAAAGAGGAGAGAAAGAAGTCAAGGAATTAGAAGAAGAAGAGGTGAAAGGTGAGGGTCATGAAAAAAGAAAAAGTGAATAATAATAATAATAATAAGTAGAAGAAGAAGAAGAAGAGCAATTAGAAGATGAAAAGAAGAAATAGTTGAAAAAAGGAGAAAAAAGAACAACAAAAAGAAGAAAGAAGGAGGAGAAAGAGGAGAAACATGAGGGAAAAGTCGAGGGATTAGAAGAAGAAGAAGAAGAAGAAGAAGAAGAAGAAGAAGAAGAAGAAGAAGAAAGTAAAGAAAAAAAAGAGGAAAAAGGAGGAAGAGGAGGAGGAAAAGAAGGAGAAGAAAAAGAAGAACAGGTACAAGAAGAAGAAGAAGAAGAAGAAATATAGGCACACTTCAGATATGCTTTTAAAAAACTAATTAAAGGCGTAGACAGCGTAAATAAACTGACTTCATATATTTAAAACAACTAATCTCTATTTACACACTATTTTATCTGCTGCAAACAACGAATTAATTCTGTCTTTGCTTTTTAAGGGACAATGAATGTTTTCTCTTATGATTTGTTTCTCATTCGTGAATGACATGGACGACACTGTTCGCTTTGTGTTATTAAAAATGGCAAAGCAGTTCAGATTTTTAAGAAAATAATTTCATTGCATTGGCGTCATCCAGCAAACATCATCATCTTTGTTTTTTATTCAAATAATTTGTGTGATGCGGTTACACATCTTCATCAGTTTATTATATTCGCTTATCGTCAACGGTTTTTTTTTTCTTAGAAACCTAAAGAAGGAAGATTATTCTGGTCCTTGAATAAAAAATCAACCTAAATTTGTTCAACTTTTTATCCGGTTCGTAATGGCTAAATGTATATAGTATATATTACTAGAAGCATGGCCCGGCGTTGCCCGTGCTTGATTCAAAAATCGTACGACTCATACAGCACTGCACGCACTAACCTGTTTCTTCCCGCGCATAGCGTGACCTTAAATTAATCTGCATTTAGGAAATACCCAACCGGAAAAACATTTTTAAGGGTTGACCGATTGTCCATTTGCACTCTGTTTGGAGGGGGGCGCTCAGAGTTGAAACTTCACATGGTGACTCCCAATGGCCTCCTCATAAATCCGATCGGTTTTCGCTAAAAACCGACATGCGGTTCAGGTGCAATCTGGGCGTATCGCCTTTTGGGTTTTATCGATTTTCCGCGCTGTTTAGGGGTCCGTGGTCATGAAACTTATGGACAACACTTCTAAAAGTAGACTTTAAGAGTGTGTCAAATTTGGTTGAAATCCAATAATTCCTTCTGTAAGCAGATTTTTTCGATTATCGATTATCGATTTTTTCGATTATCGATGTTTTCGATTATCGATTTTTTCGGAACCTGAGTCCGAACTGAAAAATCGGGCTGCGTCATGTCCTAAAGGCAGTCATTTGCAAACTTGTGGTGAAAACCGCATCAAAATCGGGTGAGAAATGCGGCCTGGGCGAGGTAACAACGCCCACGACAGACACACAGACAGGCAACATGAGAAATATAGATAATAGATATAGTCTTGTAGTACAAAATGTCAGCCGGTATTCAGAGCAAACCTTCACAAAATACGACCCTCGAGACGATTCGGTGTAGCCCGCCAGGAGTTTTCATAATAGTTTTCTGTTCATCAAAATAAATTCGGTGACAGCACGCGTATGAAAAAATCAGTTTGGTGGAAGTATGACTTTATTCAGCGTATATGTGTTTTTGATTAGAACTTGCCTCGTTTTGGGATGCATTTGTGCATTTGCGCCATTTTGTTCCTTTCAGTAATTTACTCTAAAAATTTACTCTTCGGGTTCCGCGGCTAAATTTCTGCAATCAATGTGGCCGTCCACATTATTTTAATCGTTGTTATGGTAATTTACTCACGCACGCATGGACACTCCTAGCTATAAATAGGAGCAGGTACTGCCTTTTGGAGAGGGAAATTTCCAGCAGTCAGCTCTGACAGTCAGACTGAACATTGTTGCTGACATACTCTCGTTTGTATTGCTGTTTTCTGTTAATATATTTGTTTAACTCAATTCCTCTCTTTGTATCTTTATTTCTGGCCCTAACAAGGCCACAGCATCTTTTCATTCTCTTTCATTCTCAATAACCCCTTGTGTCTTAGTGGCATTATCGCAATCTTCTGTCTCCCTGAGTTTATTATTTTATTATCTTTTCTTCTCACCAAAGTCTTCGCATTCTCTTTCACTCTCAGTAACCCCTTATGTCTTAGTAGCATTATCACCATCTTTTGTCTTCCTGAATTCTGTTCTTTTATTGCTCTTTCCCATCACAACAGTCTTCTCATTCTTTTTCACGCCCAGTAAAACCTTGTATCTTAGCGGCATTATAATCCATCCTCTATATTCCTGAGTTCTATTATTTTATTGTCCTTTCTCCTCATCAAAGACTTTTGATATGGTAATTTACACACGCACGCATGGACTCTCCCAGCTATAAATAGGAGCAGGTACTGCCTTTTGGAGAGGGAAGTTTCCAGCAGTCCGCTCTGACAGTCGGACCAAACATTCTTGCTGTAACACTCGTTTGTATATGTTTGTATTACTGTTTCTGTTAATATATTTGTTTAACTCAATTCTTCTCTTTGTGTCTTTATTTCTGGCCCTAACAAGGCCACAAAAATTGTGCAGGATTGATTTACAGCAAACAAGTAGAAACTGACAATCGACATACAGTGTTGATTATTATCTGATAGCTCCAGACAAGAAGAGGACCGAATGATTGCGCAAAGGTTCGTCTACAAAACTCTTGAGTAGAGGTGGTAAATATAACATCAATCAGATAAGTGACAAATTTTATATTTGTCTTAATCCTATATATAAGTTTTTCCTAGTGTTCACCCAATACAAGGTCCAAGGGCCACTCAAGGTAGAGGGTTACTGCGTGGAGTTGTATTAACGTAAGAAAGGACAAGATAACAGGAAATATAGACAGCTAATTCTAGGCTTAAGGAGGTCAAGATTTAATTAGTGAATAAAAGTTCAGGCGGAGACGTTAGGCGTATAGAGTTGAAGCAGACTTTAGAAGTGACCGGAATCCCAGTCCTACATAGGAAACAAGGGATAAACCTCTACTCCTGTTCAAAAGATTGTGGATTAGTATAAACCCGACAATGGGGGGGGGGGCTATCTACTCGTACGTGTATTTTAGGGTGGACACTGCATTTTGACTGCCATTTTTACACGCTAAACAATCATCAGGCCATGTTTTACGACTTTTTCTTTAGGGAATTATGGGAAGTGTAAAAGAGGTTTCCTACGTTTTCATTTTCACAGCACTGAAGTTTGAGTTTCATTTATTTAAAGTTTTTTTTTTATTTAAATTAAAGTTTATCAGATTTAGACTGTAGTTTATTATATGCTTATTCTTTTGTGTTATAAATGTGGTTGTAGGTAGCATAGAAGGAATTTGTTTTCGTGTCAGCATTTGGAAATGAGGTATGATCACTAGGAGATTGTATTGTTTATGGAAAAAATGTAATTAAATTAGTTCACCCAATACAATGCTCAGGAGCCACTCAAAGTAGAGGGTTGCAGATGAAATGAAAATGATGAAAGACGAAGATTACGAGAATAAGGAAATGAGATAATTATTAACCTTTGACTTGGAGAGGCTAAGATTGTCGTCTTTCTCAAAATAGCAGTTCTTGAGGAAAGGCTTTGGATTTTTTTCTTTGCATTTGGAAAAGGGAGGAAATGAATGGGATTAGACAGTGGAAGTAGCATGATGTATCCTAGATGTAAAGCTCAGAACAGGAGAATGGACATTTCTCATGGAAATATTGATAAGTCAATCGATATATGTGAAGAAAGACATGACTTACCGAGCGCGAACGTGTCTTGCCTGCAAAGTGATGACAAAAAGAAACACGACTGCTATTGAAGACGCAATTTATGCGCGCCTATCTCGTCCAAAACGAGACGATATCTGCACACATGTAAATTTTGGCCGTATTGGAATAGCATAAAAAGAGGGGTGCCAGTAGCACTAGGGAAGCGAAGTCATTTGGCGGACAGCATGCAATAGAGTTGGATGTACGGATTGACAGACGGACAAAGAGGAAGTCGAAGTAGTCGCAATTGCCCAGTGTAACGGCTGAGAAAGGGAGCCACGTAATCCATTTCTTTGAGACGACCGAAGAAGAAGAAAAAATAGCTGGCCTGCCAGCGAGCACCGCACTGCACTTTTTGACCTCCCCTCTCATCACCATTTTTTTTCTACAATATTTCCATGAGAAATGTGATGTTGCGTTTACGAGAAAGAGGTCGCAGAATATAGAATAAGTCTTCCCTACAAGACCGCGAAAATGACTTTAAACTTAACCATTCTTTTAGAGACGAAACGGTTATTTGGATACAGACACGAAGACGCTTCCGAAGTCCGGTGGGTATGTCAGGCAGAATCCGAGCATAAGAATTTCTATATAAGGATAAATCAGAAAATATTATTGAAGTTTCATGATATAAATATAAAAATCGAGTAGAGACTTAATGACACCTTTATTCCGGCCATTAAAATATATTAGCTTTCAGCTTTGGCGAACATCAGAAATATATGCTTATCCTTATAAAAGAAGAGCCCAAGATATAAATTACAATTTGAAGATGTCAAAATGAAGCAAGTGCAAAAATTTAAATATTTAGGAAGTGTTTTAACAGAGGATGGAAAGTATAAGGCATCAATCAGCATAGCGAAAGATGACTTCCAAAAACTAAGCAAGGTATTAAGAAACAGGAAAAATTAATTAGAATTAGAAACAAAGAAAAGAGTACTCATGTACTATGTAGTGTCAGTCCTCCTCTATGGTAGTGAATACTAGATTATTAAAGCTGAAATGTGGTTCTACAGAAGGATTCTGAGAATACCATAGGCTGAACATGTGAGCAATGACAAAATCTTTCGAAAAAATGAAAACAAAAAGGAAACTTATAATCAGTGACTCGCTGAGGTTTGGTGATGCCAGGGGCAAAGTCTATACCTTTAAGACTCAAGTAGGAGGGGTGACTACGCCGGTCTCGCTTATCAAAAGCTTGTGGGAGTGTTGAGCGTTTGAAGTTGACAGAGAGAATTTCAAAAATAAAAATTTTATTTTAATCTTTGATTGGATGTCCTCCCGATATGGATGCCGGGGGCCATAGCCCCCTCTACCTACTTCTGCGTGCGACTGCTTATACTTAACACCAGAAAGAGATAGTTGAAATTTCTAAAGTATATCATGAGGAAAGAGGGCTTGGAGAATTTGACACTCACCGAACATATTGAAGGCAAGAGGGGCAGAGGAAATAAGAGAATAATTTTCTTAACAAGTAAAGTTTAACGAGTTGGCAGAAGAGTCATTATAATTGAGTTGCTTATCAAGTTTTAATTCATCAAATCAAGACAGGCTGTTCTGAAGATGTAAATAAACTTGGTAATGTTAATTTAAAATTGAGAATTCTTGCTTATTCCATGATTATTCTCAAGTAAATTTTAGGAAACACTTATATTCTCAAGATGCAACCGACATCCACAGAACTAAGTTCGTCTTGAAAATAATATTATAGCCACGCCTTTACTGAAAACCGGGCTGTTTATTTGTAACGTGAAATAATTATAGAAACGTAAGCGCGCTGGCATAATGATATAACGAACGTCTTAATGGTGTCGAAAGAGGCGTTGATTCGTATCAAGGAACTTCTTAATCCTACTTTCTCTCCCTTTATATTGCTCGCGATATATATATATAAACAGACTGAGACAGATAGATGAACAGATAGATAGATAGATAGATAGATAATAAATACTTTCGAATAAATCCTGAATATATAGAGATATTTACATGAACGAAAATATTGTAAAGCTGGAGAGAACATATATATATATATATATATATATATATATATATATATATATATATATATATATATTGCCGGAGGACCATGGAATATTAGTGTTTAAGCATTTTTATTATATATATATATATATATATATATACGCATTGAGCAGATATGAATGAATGAGAGAAAATCATGGAGATTTGTGTTTAATAACAGTAAAATCGATCCGGCTAACCGAACGCTCCTCTGAGGCCCAATCGAGTAAAGCACGTTAGGCTATATGGCGGTTCCGTGTAGGATACAGGTTCGATTCCTGTCGGAGGACGCATATTTTCTATGAAAATATTTCGGACACTCAGGCCGGTAAATGTTGTTAATACTGTTTATTATAAACAAAGCATTTACTTAAATATTTGTATCTTTAAAAAAAGAACGTATAAACATAAAATGTCTTTTTATATATATATATATATATATATATATATATATATATGAATAATAAAATATAGTTTTATTCATCTTCCTAAAGAGTCTCAGACTCGACAAGAAGGCCTACATCGTGCCTTTAGGGAGTAGTGCTTCACTGGGTCAAGAGAGTGATAGCTGGAAGACCCTATGTCTGGGAACACCACCGCACCTTACTATACAAACAGGAGAACCCAATTATGTCTGTCAGACAATTTCTGTAACCACATCGCCCCTTACTTCCTCCCGCCTAACTACCCAGACTGTAACTTACCTTGATTCTTTTATAGTTGACCAAAATAACTCTTTATAACACCAAAAAGGAACTGAAGGCATGAATTATGGCAGCATTCACCAACTTAAATAAGGAAACCGCCCAAAACTGTTGCAGGAGATTCCAAATCGTCATGAAGTAAGGTGGACCAAAAACATTAAAATTTGAAACCTCTTCTTAACTATTCTTATAACTTAACTTACTGTCACTTCTTAAATATTCTTACAGTTAACTGTGCAAGGAAATTTAAACTATGGAATACGGTAAATTATGTAATATATAGTCTAATAAGCAAAAGTGTAATTTTATTCATATTTGAATATATATATATATATATATATATATATATATATATATATATATATATATATTTTATATATATATATATATATATATATATATATATATATATTCATACATGTTTCATTAAGTATAATTGTGTTTTCAACAAGGACTTTCCGGAAAACCTTGTTGAAAACACAACTATACTTAAACATGAAAACAATAAACAAAAACTAAAAATTCTTGAATCTCTATATATAAAACAGTTGAAAACTAACCTGAACAAAATACATTATGAAATCTCCACAAATATTCTTCAATGTCTATAATTGATAACAGAAGCCATTGGTTTATACCAACGGCTTCCCATACTTAATACTTCTCGAATTCACTCTCGCGTGTTCATGTGTGATGTCATGAGCTGCGGTGCGATTTTCGCTTCCAGCGTCTTATATTCACGTGTTTATCGTTGCTTGGAAATCATCCATGTAAACAATCACAGACTATCATCACTGTCTTGTCCGTATATTGCTTAATATATTGTACTGTAATTGACATCTTTGATAATGTCTTATGTAAGACGAAAGCTTAGATTGGATTTTAAAAAAATGTTTCAATATTGTGATTTTCTTTTTTCGTTTAATGATAATGTTATTAAACTTATCAGAAGTTATGAAAAGCATTTACATAAAATAAATAGACAACACTTGTCTATATTATTTAATGAAACATGTATGAATGAAAAATGCTGCCTAAATATGAACAATATATATATATATATATATATATATATATATATATATATATATAAAGATTAAGAGACAAAGGGATTGTGTGAGTGAGAGAGAAGTATCTATTACGACTAAATAGTTGGTTTGATCCACACAGTGTGCTTCTTAATCTCGACCGCATGCTACAATTACGCTATGTTTATCAAATAACTATATATATATATATATATATATATATATATATATATATATATATATATATATATATATTGAAAAAATCGTTTGTGTCTATCCCATCAAACATTGCCAATGGTCAACCCTATCTGAGAAACGTGATTCCTGGCGTATCACCACCATGCCGTCTCCTTCTTTGAAAATGCCTGTATCTCGAGGACAAGAGGCAGAGGAGGAAGTACTGCAACGCTATGCTATGAGAAAGAGAAACACACACACACACACACACACACGCACGCACGCACGCACGCACGCACGCACACACACGTTGGAACAGTTGGTGTGACGTTTGCCTGATAACGTAACTGTCCGGGTTTCAATTCTCGGTAGTGGATGCGGACTGATGATGAGTCCCAAATATAGGACGAAACGGCCGTCCAGTGCTTTCTGCATTACTTAATTATAATTATCTCAAATCCTTCTAATAATTTCTATCACTTGTATATCCTTGCTTGAACCGGCTTTTAATGCTCTGGGCGGAGCGGCTTGGGGATAGTAGTCGTAGCTCCTGGAGGCACAGTCCTATGGGTAAAGAGAAACTCGGATGGGTTCCACCACGGAATATGTGATCGAGCGACGCTATATCGAGTCTGATTCGCTACTTCTTCGTCACCGAGGCCCGTTGGAACATATATACATATTTATATATGTGTGTGTGTGTGCGTGCGTGCGTGTATGTGTGTGTGTGTGAAATTCGGCCGATGAGGGGGGTGTTTTTAATTATTTATTGTATTTTTCCAGTTTTCGAAGATGTCCATGAGAATCAAAATTGCAAATAAACTGACCAAATTTAAGGTTTTACTTGGTTTTTCTTTAAGTCTCAGTTCTTCTAACATCCGGATGTTGTCAGTATAGCTGACAAGATTTTTATGGCTACATCCGGGCGTTTTTTTTGTGAACGATACAATTCACATTGATTCAAATATACGCATATGGTATAAGTGACGTCACTCATGAAACAACTTCACGCACACACACACATATTTATTTATATATATGTTTATATAAAGTTTTATTTACACACGTTTGAGTAAAAGAAACAGCAGGAGTTTCTTTTTTGACTGCAGTTTTCTTTCCTTTTTTCAGTTTCTAATAATTTGGGGGGGGGGATTTTCACTTTTGGTATTTTTAAATAAAACTTCCCGTGTCTCTTTCCAGATTCCAAACGGAAATCAAAAAAAAAGTTAAGTTAAAATTATAATTAACAAGTAACATTCGTTGATTTTTAGTCAAATGTGTATAAATGCATGTATGAATATATATATATCTGTGTGTGTGTCTGTTTTAAAAATGTTTACGCATTTTGTTAATATTAACTTTGCATGACGTGAGAATTAATTAAAAACATTTAATCAAACACTGTCTGTGGATGACTACACACACACTCACATAGACAAACACACATAAATATATACACACACGCACATATATATATATATATATATATACACACATATATACACACAAATATATACACACATATATATACACACATATATATACACAGACACATATATATATGTATATATATATAAACACATATATATATATACACACACGCACATATATATATGTATATATACATACACACACACATATATATACACACATATATATACACACACACATATATGTATACACACACACATACACAAACACACACACACAAACACATTATATATATAAGCCAGTGTCCGTTACTTTGTAACGCACAAAATATGTCACGCCGTACTTTTAGCTTTCATCATACATATATGATGAAAATTTACGTATTGTTACGAACGTCTCATGGACTATTGAAGTCTATGCTAAAATATAATATTGCCAACAATAAAACACTGTCTTTGATGGACAATATTTATTATTAAACGAATCTCTCGCAAATGTTTGAAACTTCTCTTCCACGAAATAAAATATTTCGACAATTTAAAACCTGAGGACTTTGTGATTGCGTTTTTTCCTGGAGGGTTTTAAATTTTAAAACTTATAATATTTAAAATAAACTTTATATCTAAAGGAGACCCTATAAGATTCAAAATAATCCTTAAAGCCAGAGATATTTAAAATAAACCTTATATTAAAAAAAACTATTATATTTAAAATAAATCTTAAATTTAAAATAAGCCTTATATTTAAAACAAACCCTATGGTATTTAAAATAGACCTTATATTTAAAATAAGCCTTATATTTAAAAAAAAACCCTATAATATTTAATATAAAGCCGATAACATTTATTATTTATTGGCATTCGGGCAGTAAAGGCGCTTTAAATAACAAGGCATCTGTTTTTCAACATAAATCCCTTCCTTGTCAATGCACTTAATTCAGTGGTGAATATTAATCACTCTTGTTGAAAAATATTTAGCGAAAATTTCCGATTAAAATTAGACCAAATAACTGTATAAGGTTCTGGACTTATTGATCCACCTTCACACACACAACCGCGCGCGCGCACGCACACACACACGTGTGAGTTGTGTTTGACGCTGTATGTAAATGAATGTCTGTATACACATCCACACACAGACATATATACCACATATACTCGAATATAGAGTGATTTTTTTTATGATTCCTTTTTCACACAAAAAATAGGGGGGCGCATTATACACAAATCATGCATTTTCGCTGAGTTGATGCAAAGGATTTCAGGGGTGGCACGATACATGAAGTCGACTTATACACGAGGATATACAGTACGCAGGTTAATTAAAGCGTCTATAATCCGGTGATCAAAAAGGCATTTATTTTTCGCAACGAATATTCACTTTTCAACATAATCTACTTCTTTGTCATTGCACTTAATTCAGCCATTCTCTATTAAATACAGAAATCGCACATTATGCAATGACATTTTCAGATCAAAATTCAGCCTTTAATTCTGGTTAGGGAGTAACTAATCTACATTGTGTATATATATATATATATATATATATATATATGTGTGCGTGAATGTGTGGGTGTATATATATATATATGTGTGTGTGTGTGTATATACATATAAATATATATTGATAATATTAGTGGTCAATGTGTGTGTGTGTATATATATATATATATATATATATATATCAAATATATTTCTTTTTGAATTTGTAGGTCTGATGAATTAGATTGTGATTACGAATCCAATGTAATAAATTATAACCATGGAATATTAGTGTTTGAACCTTTTTATATATATATATATATATATATATATATATATATATATATATATATATATATATATTTATGCTTTTTGCAGATACCAACTACATACACCATTCCCTTTCTTCCTCCTATTTTCTTTTATATATATATATATATATATATATATATATATATATATATATATATATATATATATATATGTGTATATGTGATGGGTTGTAATTCTCCGAGTATAAATTATATGTCGAGATAGACAGCACCCCATGCAAGAGTGCGTGTTGAATAAGATATTATTACATAAGTCGATGATTTCGCTTTTACCCGGTGAAGCTTATTCGTTTGGGACGAACTGCCTGAGTCAACCATTTGTGCAGAGAGAATGGCCGGCAATTATGCCAACTCAGATGAAGGGACGGCCTTCAAGCAGACACACCCGAATGCCTTGCAATGTAAACGTGTGCTTATTATAAAGGAATGTTCTGATTGTTATCAGGTGATTCAGCATAAAAGTACCAATATATAGGAGTATGAATAAATATATTTTTGGTTTCCGTAGGGTGATCAATTTAAAATGCATTTCCATAGCAAACAGAACCCCGTATTAACTTTTATAAAATGTTGTTAATTTCCTTTTTTGATTAACCTGGAATGATGTATAGTACCTAGACTTTTTTTTTAATCTAAGCGTATTACTAGACTGGCATCGAGATCTCATCAATTTCCAGCCGTAAGTTCTATGATAACAGTTTCTTTTCTCGCACTTCTCGCTTGTGGAACTCTCTTCGTGTACCATGCTTGAAAAATTAAATGCAATGTCAATGGCTATCTACTGATTACCCTTTTCTCTTCCAGCTTGTTATTGATGTTTCTGTGCCTAATTCTTACCCGACCTGTAACCCCTTGTGTCTTAGTGGCTTTAATACCTTGCACGGGGTGATACCGATTTTAAAAAAAAAAAAAGAGCAAAAAATTGAAACAAAATTATTTATTCTCAGTGAATATTCTAAAACGCCACCGAAATTATTTATTTAAGGAATTATTAGCAGAACGGTGGAGTAATGGATAGCGGCTTGGTTTGAAGAATCGGAGAGCCGAGTTCGAATTCCAGTCGTGCTTCTTATGGAAAAGGTATCAATCCGTTTCCCCACTTCAACAATCGATAAACAGAAAGACAGACTGTGCCCTATTGTCTTGGTTGGCAACCAGTCTAGGAGAAAGAAAACTGTGAATTCAAACCATGTACTGCCTTGTATGTCCTGGTCTATTAAGAGTAGGAACAGGGTAACCTCAACATCACCGACAAAGGAACCGGCACTCTTCTGTTGAGGAATATCACCAAGGATCTCAGTTGTGAGACGGGGTGGATGAATGGTGACTACATTAGTGCAAAAGACGCTAACTTAATAAATGATGATGAATAAATTATCCCTCACCCAAAAGTCTTATATGTAAAAAAAAGAAAAAGAAAAAAGTCAACAAACTGTCATATAGGAAGAAAATGGTTCGAGCGTAACTCTGGACTTATGAATATATGTTTTTCGCCAAGTGTATAAATAGCGGTGTCAGGCTACTGACTGCAGTGATTATTGAGTGGAACTATCCAGTCGAATTAGTGTTAATTATTGTACGTCGATGATTTGGGTTTTGTTTTAGGATTTACCGGACGCTAAGCCAAGTAACGCTACCAACAAGGTATTTACTAAAATGATTAATTATCTTTGGTTGACTTTTATTTCTTTCTTCTTGTTAAGTATTTATTTGCGGTTGTAATTAAATACTGTTTGAAGTATTGAAGTTTTGAGTTATACTTAATTATTAACGGCCACCGTACGTCACAAAACATATTCAACTTACAATAGAAAAAGAGAGAAATATATTATTTAGATGTGAAGTAGAAATTTCGAGTTCAATCCATGAGTCAGGCAGTATGCACTTGGATTTAGTGGAAACAGGGTGAGGAATAACTGAGCAGTTCTGAAAATAAGAACTAAATGAAGATATCCCTAGATATGAGCAATGGAATGAGAACAGTTTATCCCTGTAGATTAAATAAAGAGTTCAGTTCAGAGTTCCCTGTAGGTTACCCAGATCGACACACACTTGATGAAGGCCGGAGATCACAACGGCCAAAAGGCGGGGACAATAGTCCACCGTGTAAATAATGATTTCCTCATCCCAGAATATTAGTGTGAATTATTGTGTGTTCATCATTCGGGTTTTGTTTTAGGATTTACCGGACGTTAAGCCGAGCCGCGCTACTAACAAGGTATTCACTGAAATGGTTAATTATCTTTGGTTGAGTTTTACTTCTTTGTTCTTGTTAAGTATTTATTTGCGGTAATTAAATATTTGTAATTAAAATTATTTGTAATATTTGTAATTAAATACTGTTGTATCTTAACATTGAAGTCTTGTTATACTTAATTATTAACGGCCACAGTACGTCGCAAACAAACTTCAAAAGGTGGTTATCGGTAGGCAACTGATTCGATTCTTAGTAAAATCACTGTTGCTGCATAAGGGTAAGTTGTTAATTGTGCTACAAAATGAAACTCGCTGAAGAGAGCGCTGTTAATTTGAGTTTTGAATAAACACCACTGTACTAGCAGGCCTCACATTAAGTTCAAACGATACTAGGACTTCGCTCGGGAGCTGTAGAAGCTGTGAAACGTGATATTTAGAATAAAGTACTAAATAACTGGTGCACTTAAAATCGTTCTCTAAAGACCTAAAAACCGTTCCTAGAAGCATAGCTTAGATGTAGCACAAGGCCGAATGTGTGGATCACCCAGTGAGGTCTATTCATGGAGAAAGGGCTGAGAACGAGGGTTGGCAAGAATACTGAGGAAGGTGCTGAATATTTCAGAAAGTTTGTTGTCACTTGATTCTTAAGAATGAAAAAAAGACACTTGGCGTGTAAGTAGAAATAATAATAATAATAATAATAATAATAATAATAATAATAATAAAGGAACTGGTATTAACATCACCCAGACCCGATTACAGAGATATAACCGGTAACAATTTTATGGGACTTTGGAATACAAACCAAAGGAACAATAAAAGCTAATCGGCCAGACATCGAGATCAAAGACCACAAGAATGTGCTTTCTTATCGACATGACAGTCCCTGCAGGTTGTAATGTATATTTGAAGATCTTCAAAAAATATCAAAATACAAGAATCTTGAAATTGAAATCTCAAAAATGTGGCACATGAGGATATCATTGATTCCAATTGTAATTGGAGCCCTCGGATTGATTGGAAAAGATTCCAATAGACTCATTGAAGGGATTCCTGGAAGCCCATGCCTTAAAGAAATACAAAAAAAAATGTTCTCACGAATACAGTCCACACTTTACGAAGGGCTATGTAAAATATGTGCGATTTCTTTTCAAAACTGCTCAGTGGAAAATGTCATGATGCCATTTCTGACCTTAGGCCTCTGGTCGGGACCCGGAAAGAAATGACTATATACCAGAAATCAAAGGAAATAATAATAATAATAATAATAATAATGATAATAATAATGTTAGGAAAGCTCTAACGAAATCCCCAAAATAAAAATCCCCAGGAAATGACAATGTGCCCAATTTCTGGCCCTATTATCTGTCATAATAATAATAATAATTTACTTGCTGTAAAAGTGAAAATTTCACGGTTTAATAATTGGAACTATAGAATTGCTTGGAAAATATTCCAATAGACTCACTGAAGGTATTCCTGACAGCCCATGCCTTACATAAATACAAAAAAATTGGACTCACAAGTACAGCTCACACATTACAAAGAGCTTTATCTATGTAAAATATGTAATACTTTTTTTTTTTTTACAAAAATGATCATTGGGAAATGTCATGATGCCATTTCTGACCTTAGATCTCTGGTTAGGACCCGGAAGGAAATGAGTATACACCAGAAATCAAAGCAAATATTAATAATAATTTCTTATCCCAGTTATCATTGCGGTTGTTAGGCGTCTGTACTACGGAACTTAAAGCCCTACATTGATAAATCAGAATAAAGCTTAGTATCACATCGATCCCGGACCTTTATTGCTTGACACTGCAAATATTTTTTATGAAAGGTGCTACCTGTCAGACAACGTCAGCAGATCCGGTTAACTTTTATGGAATTTCGAACTGAACCCTTTATTTAATCTACGGACATCGATTGTTCTCATTCCGCTGACCACGTCCAGTTTATTTAGTCCTGCTCAATCAAAGCAGTTCGAGCATTAAAAAAGTAGTGATAATAACAACAAAGATGGGGACAATAGTCTGCATGTAAATAAAAAGACATGCATAAAGAATCCAAAAACGTTAAACAAGAAAGAAAATCAATTACGCTTCTTTGGAGTAACGCGGAAAGTAGCTGTAGGACAACTAATCGACAGTCGAGACAATAGTGTCTGGGTGTAATGAAAATCTGATGCAATCACGGATGATGCAAGGCCAAACAAATTTCATCATATCCCGAAAATAGATTAGATTCATATTACTGCACACCACTGCAAATGGCCTAATCTGAGGAAAAAATAGAAATCGACTGCACCTCGTCTAAAACTGACCGTATGGTGAAAGAAAAGAAACTAAAGCAGTTGTTAATTTGCAGAAGGGTGTAATAGAGAACTTATACTGTGAATAGAAAATGAATTCAATGAATACACAAAGATAGAAAGGTGTGTAAGGCAAGGATGTGTCTTCTCGGCAGACTTTCTCAAATTTTACACTGAAACAATCCTGAGAGAACTGGAATCCCTAGCAGGATTCATTATTGGCAGCTTCAACCTTAACAATATTAGATATGCACCAATTGCAAGAAGACAGAATGTATTTTTGTTAGTAAATGGAACACGTGAATTACAAACTGGAGATAACAAAATGAAATGAGTACACAAACTTAAATATCTGGGAAGTGTTTTAACAAAGGACGGAAAATGTGTTACCGAAATCCGAAGAAACATTGGGATGGCGAAAGATGCCTTTCAAAAAGTTAAGCAAAGTATTAAGAAATAGGAAAATTTAGTTAGAAACAAAGAAAATATACTGAACTGTTATGCAATATCTCGTAACGGCAGTGTACAGTGAATCACAGCTGAAGAAGAGACAAGAGACCACAGAAATAGGGTTCAACAGAGGTGTTCAGAGAATACGATAGATTGTATATGTAAAGAAATTTATGAGAAAATGAAAATAAAACACTTATATAATATAATATAATATAATATAATATATAATATCAGAAAATGAGAGCTGAAATTATATATTTAAACCAGGACTTCAGATAAAATTAAATTTATGATCAAATACGTTAATTTCTTTTTAAAAATTTTATTTTGGGTCGTTTTAGTTTGAGTGGTCTAA